TTTTTCGATATTTTGTACAGTAATCATCATTCTTGTTTGATATAATTCATAAATGTTATTAGGCTATTCATAATATGTTATTAGACAATTCATAATATGCTATTAAACAAATTGAATAAAACATTATACAATATAAATATAAATAAAACACAAGTATTATATGTTTAAGTTTATTAAAACTACTCGTCCCACGTCCCACTCTAAGTACGTACGTACTCGTCCCAAGTCTCACTCTAAATTTATTAAAACCGTACTTTTCCCACGTCTCACTCTAAGTTGATTTTAAATAATATTAAAACAGATCTATCGCTATTTCCATGCTAATATGTTTGGATCAGTAAACAATCTAAATAACAGATATGTAGTAGTACCAAGAAATCTGAAGGCGGCCAATCCAGCAACAGACCAAAGAATAATTGCCATATATTTATCCGTTCTTGATGTATCACTAGCATATGTGACTGCGATTATTAATAATGCATTGCTAAAAATCCAAAGAAGCACAACCATTGTTCGAAACGATTTTCTAGAATCTTCTTTTCTTTGTTGTGGTGTAGCAATCGATACATCATCAACCTTTGGTTGCCTTACTGCATTAAGTGCCTGTTTATATACATCGTTAACATCTTCAGGCACTGTAATTTCGACTGTAGGCTTTCCCGAACTGGACGCAACATTTTCAGCTTTCTGTAACTTTGACGCATCTGGTCGATTACCCCAACTATAAATATCAAAAAAAAGTAAATTAGTATAATAAATTAATAAATAAATGAATAAAAAATAAATATATTTAAATAAATATATATATAATTTTAATATACATTACCTAACATCATGGATATTACAAAAAGCATAAATATTTAAGATAATAATATAAAATGGTACCAACAATATATATTGTAAAATACAAATAAACATATGCCACGGATCAAACATCATCAAACTTGCTAATAGGTACAAGCCATATGTGGAAACTAATGAAAGGATAATGTTACTAAAAGTAGTATTCTTAAGAATAGCATTTACAGTAGCAGTAGACTTTAAATCTGCATTGGGACCCAATGAAGCTACCCCAACATCGATGCCCTTAATTGTAAGCCAGAAGGCTGAAAATAACATATAGATCATAACTAAACTAAAGAATATTATTGAAATTCTATATGCCCATTTGGATCTATTAATTCAAAAAAAAACATACACACATATATATATATTAAAAGATATAAAAAAAAAATAAATAAAATAAAATAAAAACCATGAACCTTTTAAAAATTT